TGCAACTAAAATAGAAGTATTACATGCAAAACATGCAATCAAATATAATATAAAAACTATTAAATATTCCTAATTAAATATAAATTAAAACATTTTCAAAATTATTTTTTACTCTTTGTCTTAATCCACTATTTTAACATGCAAACTCCACTCAGAAATGCCAACTGACCCAGCCAAGGCTCGAACCAGTGACCTTCTTGCTGTGAGGCAACAGTGCTAACCACTGAGCCATCGTGCCACCTCTTAATACATCATCAAATCAATCATGTTCTATATATGCCTGGCAAGATGTTTTTGACATACGGGATAAGCTACTGTTTTTATGATACTTGACAGTGGGTGTCTTTTATTAGCGGTGCTAAAAGATATATATACAGTTGAAATCAGAATTATTAGCCCCCTTCGAAATTTTTTCTTCTTTTTAAAATATTTTCTAAATGATGTTGAACAGAGCAAGGGAATTTTCACAGTATGTCTGATAATATTTTTTCTTCTGGAGAAAGTCTTACTTGTTTTATTTCGGCTACAATAAAAGCAGTTTTACATTTTTTTAAACACCATTTTAGTGACAAAATTATTAGCCCTTTTAAGCTATATTTTTTCTTGATAGTCTACAGAACAAACCATTGTTATAGAATAACTTGCCTAATTACCCGAACACGCCAAGCTACCGTAATTAACCTAGTTAAGCCTTTAAATGTCACTTTAAGCTGTATAGAAGTGTCTTGAAAAATATCTAGTAAAATATTATTTACTGTCATCATGACAAAGATAAAATAAATCAGTTATTAGAGATGAGTTATTAAAACTATTATGTTTAGAAATGGGTTGAAGAAATCTGCTCTACATTAAATAGAAATTGGGGAAAAAATAAACAAGCAATCTAATAAGTTAGGGGGGCTAATAATTCTGACTTCAACTGTATATAAACAGAATTAATTTGACTGAATGAGGGAATAAATAAAGCTTTATAATACTTTTCCTCTTTATATAAATGACCCCCTCACTTGTGAAATAGACAGCAGCATGATTCAGTAGAGTTTCTGTCAGTGCTATTATAGTTTTAATTGCTCATCCTTCAATAACAGCTCGTAGTGACAGATTCATAACACAATCTGAGCTGAGAAGTTGCCGCTGCAGTAATAAAAAACAGTAGCATCCTGGGAAAACACTTTCATTTCCCTGGATACAGACAATTTCAGACTGTGTTTTGTGTACAATAACAACAGTCGAGTTCCATAAATAAAAAAACAAAGCATTAATTATCCCCATAGGGAAACAGCATTTTAGAATCGCACTACATTTCCCATGATGCTCTACAGACATTTCCACAATCAGTTGCAGCAAGCAAAAAGTCCCAAAAGAGATTTTGTTTAGCTTCTTCTACTCATATAAAACCCTACAAATGATATACAGCAGTGGTTCTCAGCTGGTATAGCCATGGGACCCACATTTTCACATGGTCATCAAGCCGCGACCCAAATTTTTAGGAATTCTAATATAATTTTAGGAATTATAATTCATTTGTATTTAATTGTTAACATACACAACTAATGACAGATAAATTATAAGAAAATTAACAAGACTTACAAATAAACAATATTTTACTGCTGTCATTTAACAAAATGTATCAAATTATAGAAATATTACAGAGTAACAATGTCAAATACTGTAAACAGTGGTTAGGGTAAGGAAAAGTTAAGTTACCAATAGCCCCTTTCACACAATGATACCGGTATATATCTGGAAAATTTCCGGAACGACTTTACCGGTATATTCAAAAAAGCGCTGTTCACACAGGCGAGGACGTTACGGAAATTTTCCGGAAAAGAGCATTCACACATCCATTCCAAAATACCGGTAAATTCTGACATCATTCACCACAAATGAGCTTTAAACGGCTGCGCTTGTATTTTTAAACATTTGACTAAATTACAAACTCTGTGGATGATCAATATTGTGAACAACTTTCGCTGGATCACTTTCGCATGTCGAGATGTTCATAATATGTGCGTGTGCAGGCGCTCACAGGCTGTTTCACAGGCACACGCAAAGCTTGAAGGTAAACAAACAACGGCTTATCATAAGCATCTCATCGATGATTATTTACACAGTTGGCATTAAGAAGAACATATAAACGTGATCTGACTATCTTCTAGCAGCTAAATGTGTCTGGAAAAATATTCAAAGGTTTTTATCCTCACAAACCGCGCGGACGTAAATGCGTCTGACTGTTGTGATTGGCTAAAGCAGACGTCTCACGTCAGCACGTTCTAGACGTGCACGCGCTTATTACGGGAATCTTCCTTCTGCATTCACACAGCGGAGCATTCCGGCAAATTGCCGGTAATGTTACAACTTCTCTTTCCGGAAAATAGCCAGAACGAATTTACCGGTATTTTCAAAAAGGGCCTGTTCACACATACAACCTTTCCGGAAAGGTCTGTATGTGTGAAAGGGGCTATTAACTAAACTGAACTGTTTAAAAAACATTAACACTGATCTGGTTGAACTGAACAGAAACCAGCAAACTGAAGTAAAATTATTAAAATAATCATAACCATTTTATAAAAATCACCAGTTATTTGCCGTTCTGCTTTTGTGTGGGCTTTCTTGGCCTTTGCCACACGGTGAGCAGAGTAATTTAGGCCTACTTGTACTTGTTTTGAACATATATATATGTTAGGCACTTTTGTGATGCCCTCAGCTATTGGAGTCATCTTAGAAAATAGTCCACAGGTTTTCGCTTGCAACTGGGATGTCATTAAAACACATTCAGTTAAAGGGCCATGACACCCCCCCACTTTCGGTTAAAGTCTACTTCAGAATTTTTTCAAAAGATGCACGATTAATGGGCGTGGAGCTCCGCGAGCATCGGGCAGGAGTGGGCGTGGCCAGCAGGGGAGAGAACAACTGCGTTTGACAGTTAGCTCACAAAATGAGACACAAACCGTGAGGAGACGCAAGAGTTTATGGTTCACTAAGTTAATATGCCCTGCTACATTTGTTATTCGTAATTTTATATACACATAACCATAATTTATATCATTATAAAGATAAGTGTGTTCATGTAAACACTATAAATGAGGATTCTCCCTCGATCCCCGGGTCTATTATAGATCTGAATGCAGACCTGCCTATTTTAACCATTAGCCCTGCTGGTAATCTGGCAAACACAGCAGCACGGCGATGTGTCTGAATGTGAACGAACTCCTGATAAAAGACAGCGTCCGCCATTCTCTAATTCTCGTGCTGCTCTCCCGACAAAAATGCTAGCAGCACACACACAGCCTTGCTGTATGATCGGCCCTGACAAGATCGCGGGTTAAAAACATGCAACAAACCCCATGGATCATGGAAACAAACACATACGAGTCTTCATAAACGGCTACTGCGTGCCGTGGGTCCGTCACTCCGCGTCTCACAGCTTGCTTGAAACTGGCAGGTCTGTCTCGCCTTCGGAAAGCACGTGCTCTCATGAATAATTAAGCAGCCGGCTCTTCTCATAGGTTAAGAAAACTCCGCTATGAATAATAATGAGAAACCGACGCGTCATCATTGCACTTGCAGTACTGCGCTGCGTCGCCGATTTTGATCCCGCCCCAAAAATCCTTTTAAACCCAGAAGCTGAAATTAGCTGACAAAAGCTCAAAATTATCCAGTTTTCCCCACAATTAAAGCTGACAGGTGCTAATATTGTCTTAACTGATGCTCAACACACACACATCTGTTCATATAAAAAAAAAAGTTCTCCAGGGTGTCCTGAACCTTTAAATAAACTTTGGCATTCATTTAGTTGCTCAAGCGTAAAACGAGACAAAGCGCCTTTTACTCGCACGCGCCCGTCAGAATCGGCAGGATAGCGCAGAAGCTCCATTGAATATACTGTGGTAAAATAAATACTCTCATTATAAAGACATGGCGGGGGAAATGTAATGTAATGCAGTGCTTCTTGTACAGTCTGAGACCCACTTTATATCGGATATCACTCAGCCAGTGGAAATCGCTGATTTTTAAAGAAAACAGACCTTAAACGCGCCGGTTTTTGCATTGCATACAGTTCGCTGAAAGTGCTTAACCCAGGTTACTGGCAAATTAAAAGCCCCATTAGCATGCTTCAGCATATACCCTAATGCAGGGGTGCTCAATCCTGTTCCTGGAGATCTACCCTCCTGCAGATTTCAGTTGCTACCCATATCAAACACACCTGCCGGTAATTATCAAGTGGTGTTCAGGTCCTAATTAATTGGTTCAGGTGTGTTTGATATGGGTAGCAACTGAAATCTGCAGGAGGGTAGAACAGGATTGAGCAGCCCTGCCCTAATGGTACGGTTGTCACATGCGCATTTCAAAATAAAAGTCCGATATAAGCAAAATAAGTTAAATATTAAACTTTTGTTGTTTTTTTTTTATCACACACTCCGCGACCCACTGAAAATCTTCCCACCAGTTGAGAAACACTGATATACAGGGTTTGTACGGGTGCTGGAAATCCTGGAAAAATACTTGATTTTTACTTTAGTGTTTTCAAGGTTAGAAATGTGCTTGGATTTTGGACTAAGTGCTTGAACCTGCTTTAATTTGAAATTGCAGAATGCATATTTGCACCAAAAAACGCCAAAAGCAGCGCTCAGAAATAGTTTAAAACAGTGTCAACTTGCTGCAGTAGACAAAGCCTGCAATGCCTGTAAATTTAAAAAAATTAAAAAGTAATATTGATAAAAGCTTACAAACTATGGTTTTTCATATTTGGTGATTTTCAAAACAGTTGACAATGGAACAGTTTATTAATTTGCAGCAGGAATATTCTATTCTACATTAGGGATTTAAGTTGTTGTTACATAACTTTTGAATCGCAGTGCACAGGAAACATAATAAACGACGTCATAAAAACAAACTCTGATTGTAAGCTAATTTTTGAGATATCAGCTTTAGGTAAGAGACCAAACTTTATCCAATAACTAAACTTTTTTTATTTATTTATTTTTTAGCATATTTACAGTAGGTTAACTATCCCAAAAATTTTTTGCTCCAAAGTATTCAACAATTTAAGTTGAAATGTTATACTGTGTTTTTTTATAAATAGCACAATGGGTTTAGATTTGAAAAGGTAAATATAGCATATAGCAATGCAATTTACCATGCTAAAAAAGCAGAAAAATGCAACTTGCTTGAAAAGTGCTGGAATTTAAAGTTGGAAAAAGTGTAAAAACCCTGGATATAATAGAGACTTTAAAGGGCCATGAAACCCCCTGGTTTAGCAAACACCTCTAGTTTGAAAAAAGTCAGGAAAGTGGGTGTGTCTAGCTCTGTTTACGTGGGAGTGTCGGGGGAGGAAAAAGGGGAAGGATTTGAATAAAAATGGGAGTTTCCATTTGGGCATGTGCTGATTTTCACTGAGGAAAAACAAACACACAGACGCAGAGGAGAAAGACAGTGACTGTGTTTAATAAGGGTGAAATGTTTGATACCGCACGTCATATAAGAGAAAAAACCTCTGCATTTCTCAGTAACGCAGATTCACTTGGTAGGTCAGAAAGCCGTGTTTGTAGACTATCCTGTCACAAAATGCGGCGAAAATTAAACACGACGGTCCGTATTAGTTTGCTTACAGTGTTCACGTGTTTACACTCGGGAGAGCAGCATTTACAGCAGATCTTTCATTTTATAATATTGTAATGATATTAATGTAAACTAAATAACTTAGAAATCATTTTGACTAAGGTCTGTCTTTAAACACTGAAAGAGTACAGCTGACTAGACGATCTATAACTTTGCCATCTGAATGAACAAAGAAAGGGCGCTGATCGCACACACTTACCAAATCTCTAGAGACAGAACAATAACACATACTATAGCTGCGTCTTTTTTTTTAAAGGAGATGAACAGCAAATCCGGATTTCACCATTTCCAGATGCGAAAAGCTCTTGGGTAAAAAAATGCTCCGGGCAAACGTATTTCTGCTGCGTGTCGCTTGCACGGATCCACACATGAGTCTAGCTGTGCTCTCATAGAGGGAAAATGAAAACTAATCCTTCATTGCAGCACATTATAAAAGCAACACTGACGACTTGTATCTCCAAACAATTCCTACTCTTTTCCCACTTTTTTTGGCAACACAACGTGGCGTCTCTGCCGTCTGAAGACGGTTTCAGGTACAAACCGTCTTCGAAGCTAGCATGCATATTAAATGCACCGCATACACAATAGAGCGCGGTGATTGGTTTGAACCAAGTCATACTCATGAAATAATGCAGCACACTCAGAGACTTTATACGGTACTCCCAGGTACAGACATCCAGTCTACACGCTGGAATACACGCTAAGATCTCATGACGCAGCTTCAAAAATTTATTTCAAACCAGAAGTACGAATTTGCTCGAAATAACACAAAAACAACCAATTTTCACTTTTTAGTGAGATATATGTGTCCTAATTGTGTTTTTAGCAGTGTGGGACACATATACGACTGTCAACAGCTCAAAAAATATGTTTTGATATTTCGTTTAACAATCTAAAAAAATGCTTAAAAACATACAAATTAGACAAAGAGGTGATGAGGCAGCGACCAGCAAGACCAAGCTATCACTCAAGTGGCCACGCCCTTAATTATGCAGACTTAATATAACTTAATATAAAGGAAGCAGATGAGTTATTAAAAAATTCACCACCGCACGGTTGTTATGAAGGGTAATATTAGCTTTATGAACCAAAATCACTCTTTGTAGCAGGCTGTAAACCCTTTTTTTTCTGCTGTAAAGTTGGCCATTTTAACAGTGGGGCGGGGTCTGTCAGATACTAGAAAGCATTTGATTGGTCAGAAGATTTGATGAGAAACTGAAGTATGAGATAATAGATTTTTACACGGAAGTGAAATAATAATATTAATTTCACTGTGACATGTCCTTCAGGGCCAAATCCAAGTTCTGATTGGTTATTAATTCCTGCTGCGCTCTGATTGGCTCCTTTGTCTCGTTGTCAGGGTTCATCGTTGATCCATCAGAAGGTGACTTTACCCAGCGAGAGTGTCGGCTCTCCTATTTTTTCATTCATCCAGCTGGAGCAGTTTAACGCCGTGCGATTGGTCCAGAGCATTCACCAATCGCTAGCCTCGCTCAGTAAGGTAATTCGAGGCACGTCCCTCCTGACGGCTGATGTTCACAAACTGGCAACTGCACTCCTGAACCAAGAGGTGAGTGAAGCGAACGCCTGCAGAATGATGAATATTCATGTCTTTTTCATCTTTAATTGAGCAGTACAGTATGACAGGCTGTGCTGTAGTGTGCTGTATAGAATGAAACACCACACTCAACATCAATTCAGTACTTTTTTCTTATTTGAGGTTTTAAAATAATGCCTTTTATATTGTTTTAATGCCGTTTTTTTTATTGGTTATTCATTATAAGATCAAGCAAGGTCACTGAAATTTGGATAATTGCATTTTTAATCCTTTGTAAGCTGAATAAGTTGCGTAAATTTGTAGTTTTTTTTCTTGATATTATTATTAGTTGTAATATTATTGATAAAATAAATGGGTCACACTTTACAATAAGTTTCATTAATTAATTAATTAATTAATGCATTTACTAACATGAACAAACAATGAACAATACATCTACTACTATATTTGTTCATGTTAGTTAATGTTAGTTAATGAAAATACAGTAGTTCATTGTTAGTTCATGTTAACTCATGGTGCATTAACTAATTTTAACAAGCACTGACTTGTATGTTAATAATGCATTAGTAAATGTTCAGTTATGATTAAGGAATTCTGTACATATGTTGTTTATGATTAGTTCATGTTAGTAAATGCATTAACTAATGAACCTTATTGTAAAGTGTTACCAATAAATGTTTTATTATTATTTTGGACTGTTACGACCTCTTGAAGTTAAACCAGGGATTGAAGTAAATAACATTTATATTGTGACAGTTTTGTGTAAGATGGGAGAAGAAGAACCATGCATCAGGCAAAATACTGCCAAAAAGAGGATTTATTATACAAAAATCAAAGATAAACAGAAAATAGTAATGATAAAGAAGAATAATATAACAACAAATAACAAAGTAAATTAATTATATACAACTTATTATAACCAAAAAATAATCCAAAAACAATAATCCCTGCAGGGGGGAAAGGACAAAGTGGCGCTGAAAGAAAAGAAAATAACAAAACAAAAATCAAACTACCTCAGTATAATCCTTTAAACCAGGGGTCACCAATCTCGGTCCTGGAGGGCCGGTGTCCCTTCAAGGTGTAGCTCCAACTTGCCTTAACACACCTGCCTGGGTGTTTCAAGTATACCTAGTAAGACCTTGATTAGCTTGTTCAGGTGTGTTTAATTAGGGTTGGAGCTAAAATCTGCAGGACACCGGCCCTCCAGGAACTTTAACCATGATTATATCCAGGAACTTTAACTTTAACCTAACTGAAAACAAAATAATCGAAAGCAAGTATTCAGCGTTTACAAATCCTCACTTACCTACTCTAAACCGAACCAAACCGAAAAATACAAAGCCAACGCTCACTCCTAAACCTGGTGTGTCTATACACGGGTTTACTAGGTGATGTAAGGATGTACGTCACGTGACATCTACCTCTCCAAATCCCCCTGGGGAACACAAAGCATATCAGCAAAATCTCAAATGAACAATAAAAGAATATTAGTGAAGATAAACAAAAATAGCAAAAACAAATTTGACAAAGCAACATTAATTACCCCCATTAAACAAATAAGACTTTTTTCCATAAGAAAAAATATTATACTGTAGGAAATACTGTGAAAAATTCCTGAATCTGTTAAACATCATTTGGGAAATATGGGGGATAATAATTCTGACTTCAATTGTATGTCTGTATGTATGTATGTGTGTGTGTGTGTGTGTGTGTGTGTGTATATAGGGCTCGAAATTAACCTTTTTGCTTGGTAGCACCGGTGCTCCTAACTTTAAAAATTTAGGCACATCAGCCTAAATTTTGTCGCACCCACCAATTATGAGCACCGTTACTACAAGTTTTATACAAACAGATTTATTGCATTTGAAATCAACACTCATCAAACTAACAAGCAAAAAAAAAAAAAAAATATATATATATATATATATATATATATATATATATATATATATATATATATATATATATATATATATATATATATA